GGAATGAGCCTCTGAGAAATGTGCCTTGGCAGGAAAATAACACTGACTTCAGAGCAGCAGCAAGGACCACTAAACTCTCAAGCAAAAGGTCCAAGCGGTGTATTTTCACCCCTTGTACTGTACATCCACTACTTAGGGATGACTTGACCTGACTGCTAGAAAGACGGCTTAAGTGCCAAAATCAACTTGGAGCCCGTGCTAAGTAATTCTAGAAGTAGGCGAATATTCTCCTTTCCCAGTGAATAGTCACCCTAATAAGTGGCCAGAAGTCCATTTGGGGAAGAACTCGAAAGTCATAACAATATGCATATGTCATTGTATAACAGGGTTTTTATTTGTGAAAGTGGGGCCACTTTTCCAATCTCTGTAAGCCTTACAATTTTCTTCATGTCTGGAAACTGGAGCGAGAGATTGTAAAGGTTCATCAGGGACAGTAGCATTAACATCTTGCTTTTCCATTTTGCCTTAATTACTTATAGAAGGTAAGCCACATCCTTCCTACTTGCTCATCTGTTTTGCCTGTAGGGGCGTTACCTTCAATTAATCATCTCCCTAACACCCTGTGAGTCAAGCCCACTTAACTACCCCTTCAATTTTACCAGTTGTTACAGTAATTATGGCCTCTTGGCTTTTGGTAGCTAAGCACCAGTCCTGCAGGGCCCTTTATTACTTCAGGGTCCATTACCCTGAGTGATATTAACAAGCCCAATACCATGACCGCCTCATCTTCAGCCCTATCTAAATAAAAGCACCATCACTTATCTCAGTAATACTGGTACCCTCTCTCTCATAGGAGTGTTCCTGTTGGCCTTGGTGAATTGTGTGTTCTCTGGTCCTTGCCTTGGAGCAAACCATATAGGTTTTCTATCCTCACAGTGTATCCATCCCAGCATGACCAGTTCCCTAGGTCTGTTTATGTCTTCCCTATTTACCAGAGCAATGTGGACATCACGACTTTGCTCAGAAATGACCCTTTCGCTTTTCAGGCCTTTAAGAGACACTCTATGGAGGAATTTATTTCATTCCCAGGTGTTCCTCCTAGGGTAATATCTTAGTCCATTTGTGCATCTCTAACAAAATATCTGAGGCTGACTAATTTACAAAGAACACAAATTTGTTTCCCACTGGCCTTGGGGATGGAAATACAAAATGAAAATGAAAATGTCAGCAAGTTTGGTGTCTACTGAGAGCCTTGTGTGTACTTTTTTCTAACTTAATCCTCCAGAGGTATTGTACTCTATTTCCACATGGTAGAGTAGAAGGCTGAGGTCTGGAGAGCTCCCCTGCAGCCCGTCTTAGAAGTCATGAATCCAATTCACCTTCATCACTTAATCTCTAAAAGGTACCAACTGTTAATATGTTCACCCTGGCAATTAAGTGTTTTCACACAATTGAGTTTGGGTAGACAGACCACACCAGATGATAAACACTTTGTAACTGAAATAGTCCTAAATAAATGAATCCTTCTATGCCTGCCTTTATGTTCTATCACCTCAGAAAAGCATTGATCAAATTTATTCACCTGGCTCTTGCATATGTGTCCCACAGCTTCTTCAGTAGATAGTATTTTTCCTGCCTTGTCAGATCCAGGATAGCTCCACTGACTTTGTGTGGAATTTAACTAGTCATCTTTTAGCAGTCAGGAAAGAAGACAGACATTCCATGGGTGAGGGTGCACACTCCACCATTTATTTACCTTTCGAGACTTAGCCTTTGGCTCTCCATATACAGATTGAGTGTTTGCCCAGCTTTCCACAAAGCACTGTTTGGGCCAAAGCAATTTCATTGCTAAACTCCCCTAAATACTTAACAGGAAAATACTGCCAAGCTTGAGGATTCGTCAACTGAATAGGAAAAGATGAGTGTTTTTGACTTGATAGAGGAAACAAAATACTTCCCACTTGTAGATGATAAACAGAACTTTGGAACCCAAACCTGACAAAAAATCATCAGAAAAAGGGAAATTATAGACCCAACCTCAAAGATAAGATTCCTGAATCAACCTGAAAAACTCATAGAAATAAGAGGTATTCATTATAAATTTGTTAATCTGTTAATTTTAAATTTACAATCAGTTATGCACAAGCGAGGTAGACAGAAACCATGGGCAGTTTCTGGATTTCAAGGGCCTTCATTCTTGTTTTGGATGAGTCATTTCACTACACCGTAAAGAAAAGAATCTCATCACCTTTCATGACATAGAGTCTGTTAGGCTGTGTATCTTTATATACTTGGATAATTGTAATATTCATACAACATTTGCATAGGCACTGCCCTTCATAATTTCATAGTTGCAGACTATCATAATCCTAAAATGGACAGCCTGTGGAAGCAAGTCATAAACCACCTCCTAGGAATTCCCGTTGTTTACATGAAGTCTGTTGTCACTGTGTAAACAAGGAGATTCACCCCCATTCATCTTTTTCCCCCCTAGGAACAACCTCCAGGATGCCTCCAGAGAGAAAGTAATGGAAGTTAGCTACCTAATTTTCTGTTTGGGAGCCAGTAAGTCTCTCAAATGTCGATGCTCAGATACTAAACAAAATATTATCAAATGAAAGTTGCAATGTATAAAGAGACCAGTTCATCATGAAATGGTTTAACATTTGAAAGTTAATTAATGCAATTCATCATGTAACAGAACAAGACAAACCATATGTCAGTAGCTACAAAGCAAACAAATCAACACACATTAACAATACAAACTGAAAACTAGGAACAGAAGGGAAGTTGATAGCAATCTATTAAGAAAACCTACAGTTAGCATACTGCTTAGTAATAGAACATGGATCTTTCCCACAATTGTGTATTGTCCCTTGTCACGCAGATCCGGCATGCCACAAGTGATTGTGCATGTAGAAAACCCGGACTGTTCTACAGGCTATGAGAATGACTGAACTTAATGTCAAAATGCCAGAAATTGTATATCTTTACATTGGCTCAACTGAACAAATTAAATATTTTAAATGTGCTATGAATAACAAGTTTCAAATAGCTAAGAATAAACCAGTTGTGAGATTTACAGTTTTCTACACTAGCAACTGAAAAGCATTACTCAGACATTAAACACTTAAATGAGTGGGGGTATAAAGTGTTGAGGCATGGAAGACTAGATGTCTTAAAGATCAATACTTTGAATGTACTCAATATATATTGTCTGTGTCATCCCCATGAAGCTCCCAGGAGATCCTTTTATTTTGATGAAATTGATAAGCTGCCTGAAGTGTATTTAGAAATTGAGTTGATTCGTGATAGCTAAAATAGTTATGAAAAATACCTTCAGGACTATCAAAACCCAAGCAGGCTACAGAATTTGGGGTACTTCACTGTTTTGTACAATGATGACTACTAGACTAATGAAATAAATACAGAAATGAAACACTGGGTAAATTTCCCTCTGAAGGCAAATGCTTTGTTCCTCACCTCAGGACACATGCCACACTCAGACATACTTCTGCCCTTAAACCAGAATATAAGTTTAGTGTATAGGAGGAATGAAGCCGTCGGAGACCCACCCAAAGATACATGCAAATGAAGACTTGGTGGCTTCTGTTTTCCCAAGAATCAAAGTCACAGTTTCACATTTAAGACTGGATGAATACCTAGTCCTCCATGTCACACCCTATGTCCTAAAAAACTCACTCAAGAAGGGGATTGAAAAGAAAAATCTCATCGGTGAGTAATCTCCAAGAGAAAGCAGTGGAGTTTATTGCTGATGAAAGTTTCTGAAGAATTCCACATTTCAAATCATAGTCTAAAAAGAACCTAGGAAGAATATATATATATTCTAAAAGTGAAATGCTAGTGCTCTCTGCCCTGTCCTGTTACCCTGAGACATGATGCTGCATAAGTTAGTCTAGGTACAATATTATTGAATTTGCATGTGCCTAAGTATAGGGATCCCACACTGTCATACAGTCACTATGGTGTCAGGGGACCACAAACATTTCTTTGGTGCAACTGAGAGCATTAGAACAATAGTTCTAGCAGCCCACAGACCTGAAGGACTCTTTAGAAATTCAGTGTGAACTCTGAAAGATGCTTTAGATTTCATCAGATATCAACATGGGGTGCATGCCAATAATTACCAGAAACGACAGTATTCATCTTACTTGAAGCCAAACACAAATAGACACCAATCAAGAATCAAATGCTATAATATCAGCTAGCCCTCTATAACATGGCTGCAACCCTGAGTGGAGAGGGAGTGCTGTGTGCTTAGTATGCCCCCACCAAATTCATAAGTTGAAATCCTACTTCCAAAGGTGGTGGTATTTGGAGGTTGGGTCTTCAGGAAGTGAACAAAATGTATTCCCTTACAAAAGGAGCTCAAGGGAGCTCATTCACCCTTCTGCCAGGTGACAACAGACAGCTGCCAGGAGCAATTAAGTGTGTTCTCACCACAGACTCTGCCAGCACCTTGATTTTGAATTTTTTAGCCTCCAGAATTATTAGATGTTTCTGTTATTTATAACCTATTCAATTTAAAGTGGGTGTTCTGTTACACTAACTCCAACAAACTGAGAGAAAATGTTGCATTAACTTATTTTAAAATGGAATGCCCGTATTTATCTCAAAAATAAAGGGTTTGAGGGGTGTGTGTGTGTGTATGTATGTATTTATGTATGTATGTGTGTGTGTTTTCATATGTATACCATAGAACAGAATGGAAGAATTGTGTTTAAATTTGGAAAAATTAAAACCAGGTTTCCATAGAGCTGAGTACATTAATTAATAAGGACACCAGAGTTTCAGGCAGGACTAATAGCCTACTATTGAAGGACAAGTGACCCTAGAGCAAACAAACCATCTGCATGCAATTGTGTTTTGTTTTGGTTTTGGTTGTTTGTTTTGCGTGTTCTACAAGGCCCTGTTATTGGCGATATTATAGAACTGTGTACTGTGTACCACTAGTTCATAGCAAATGAACTGATGTTGGAGGGAAACAAAATTGAAAGGCTTCTTTAGTAAGTTTGACTGTCAGAGTCGTTCTTTTGCAGATATTCGGGGTACTTTCCAAAGGAGATGGCTTGGTGTGTGGGAAGTGTATCTACGTGTGGCCCTGGTCTCCCTTCAGAGAAGGACTTGCTCCCATTTGCTTCGTGAACTGTTAACAAGCAGCCTGCAGCTGTCAGGTCTCTTCTGCCATCAGGTCTCCTCTGGACTTGCCTCAGCAGCGCGGAAGCACTTCATCTAATGTCACACTCCTTCACAGGATGACACACGTCAGTGACTGATCATTGCTGGGATGCAAAGTTGTTCCATGGCTCATCTCCAGAGTTCTCTGTGGTTCTGGCAAGAGCTGTTGTTGAGCCTATGTAGCAGCCCAGCTTGCTCTTTCTCTTCTCTACAGACACTGGTCCAAAGCACACTTCTTAATAAACAGCCACAATGTCAACTGTATTTGAGAATCTCAAGAGCTGCATCCTAGAGAACACAGAGGCTCTGACCTCCACCCCGCCCCCAACAAACACACCTTCAGGTTCTATTTGCCCAGGAAAGAAAATATAGAAGATCTAACCGGCACCAAGTTTAAGAAACACATCTGGCTGCTGCTAAGTACAGATGTGAGAACTGAGAAAGCACACTCATTTTTGTCAGACAAATACAAATATTTTGTATTCACAGCTGCCTTTGGACATATTTTGTAGAGAAAGGGGGAAAGTACTGTGAAAGCCTTTGACAATCTGTTTCCAAGAAATAAAAGCCACATACCAGAAGTCTCATAAAACTAAAAGAAAACGGCAAATTTGAAAAAGCTAAAAAGGGGGAGTTATCACAATTGAGCTGTTGAAATGTTGGTGTTCAGTAATACGGTGGCTGGTATCATTTCAAGATGTGACTCTATTTCCAAAAAAAAAAAAGCCTGGAATAAATAAATATTTTTGCATAACCATATTTGTATTTCAATGGTACCTTGAGAGGATAGCTTGGAAAACTGACACCTAGATAATCAGTGACAATGAGCCATCAGACTGCATGCTCAGCACAGAGCAATTTCCAAGGAGGAAGAGATGTGTGCAGCCTCTACAAATTTGGCTTGGGGAGGCGTTTGCTTCAGATCACTTGAATAAGCTACTGTCTATGGCTCACAAGGGTCCCGTTCTTAATGAGGTGGTGCATGGCAGCAACACACTGTGAGTCCAAATAGCAGATGGCAACGCTGTTGAGTAGGCTGGCATGCTGATGTCTAGCCACCAACTGGCAGCAATCATTATTAAACTGATTCATGTGCCCAGGGAAAATCTTCATAAGAGCCTCAGCAAATGTAAGCAGCAAGAGGCAAATGATCTGTCCCCATATCCTCTATAGAGCTACCTATATTTTAAAAATGACTATCCTGCAGGGCTGTCTACATGAAGGATGGCAAGATATGTGAACTGGAGGCCCTGTTCCCTTGCTCTATACTCATATGCCTTTAAATGTGATGGCTGTAATTTCTGTTTGGTGAATAGCTTTGACTTGAAGGAAATAGCTTCGCAGCTCTCACCCTGTGGGCACATGGCAAATATATTTGGTGGCAGGCAAGTGCTTGTGGGCTCTCCAAACACAGGTTCTGTGTAAATGTTACACAAATTGAATACTGAACATTGTCTGCCTCAAATTATGAAGTGATGACCTAAATAGCGCATGGTCCATCCACCTGTGACAGGTAACTCAACCTGAATGAAAAGCAGATAAATACAACTAAAAACATTATAAAACTATTCTCATATGAGGACATTTCCACAAGAAAATCGTAGAAGTACTCATTGTGAAAACTATGTCTTTATAAATCAAAATAATCAGCAGATAGCATGCTTCTATTTTTTCTGTTTGTTTTTTGAGACAGGGTTTCTCTGTGGCATCCTGCTATCCTGGAACTCGCTCTGTAGACTAGGCTGGCCTTGAACTCACAGAGATCCACCTGCCTCTGCCTCCCAAGTGCTGAGATTAAAGGCATGCACAACCACAACCTGGCTGCATGCTTCTCTTTTCAAATGAAATGGATATGTGTTTGTAACCAGTAAAGCCAATTTATATGTTTGTGCATAAACATTTTATTGAAAAACAATATCCTATTTCATTTACTTACAAAACACAATCACTTAAATATTGAAAAATTCTGATTATTTTATAAATCTTCATTGAATTATTTTCCTAAAATTAAGATAACAGACTTTGTCATGCTTACAAAGAAGAAAGAATTTGAGGAAAGAAAACACTACAAATATCAGATGTTCTATATATTGTCATTATGGACTTTACTGTGTTTTTGTAAATCATTTTTATTCAAAGTAATTTTTAAAATCTTTTATTTTAAAAGTGTTAAAGAGGCTAAAGGATGTATCAGTGGGTAAAGGACCTATTGCCAAGACTGGTAACCTGAATTCCATCCATGGTAGGAGAGAACTAATTCCCACAAGTTGTCTTCTGGTAGCTGCATGTGCACAAAAATAAAAATAAATCACTTTTAGATTCTTTCCTTTTAAAAAATCACTTGTCAGTCTGATAAAGATATCCAGGCTGAGGTATCACTTACAAGTTCTATAGTGTGTGCTCTCCTCGTGTCCTTGTGCCAAACATGAGAATGATTCTCTTTCAAAGACAACCCAGCCTCCAACCCCGACAAGAAACTTCAAAGCAAAACTCACATAACCATCACTTCTGCTCTCTCGTCCTTCTCCCTAAACAAGGAATGAAATTCCAGAACTGATCACATGTTTTAATATTTGAGAACAAAAATATCACATCAGCAAATGATCTGCTGATGCATTCCTCAGGTCCTGGTTACTTTCAAGAAACAAATTAAGCCAGTGTCAAAAGGTAAGGTGTCCATGTCTTGCTCTGCATGAGAAAATAACTGTATCATGTTAAAGTGAGTCTGAAATGGTGACATCTGACTCCTTTAAGATGGAGAGTCTTTTTTTTTTAAAGATTTTATTTATTTAGTATACAACATTCTGCTTCCATATATATCTGCACCAGATCTCATTACAGATGGTTGTGAGTCACCATGTGGTTGCTGGGAATTGAACTCAGGACCTCTGGAAGAGCAGTCAGTGCTCTTAACCTTTGAGCCATCTCGCCAGCCCGGAGAGTCTCTTAAAACATTGACCAACCTATCATAGCATCGATTTTCAATTATTGAAAAATGTTAGTTATTACATCAGTAGGCTACAATAATGAATGTTGGGCTGTAAGTACTGATGACAGCCAGCAATGAGCAGTCTAGTTTAAAGCACAGGTCTCTGTGTATTCTAGTATGGAGATGTGAAGGTGAATAGGTATATTGCAGTGGTGTGGGTGCCAGCTAGCCCCATTACCAAGAGATGGATGTTTGTTTTTTAGATCAGGTGAAATTTATCCTGAAACTTTATGTTCTAAACAGTTGCTTACTGTCCTCTCACCCTTCACAAGAAATGCTCTTTGCAAAGGCATCATTAATGCCCACTGTGCCAAGATCCAAGTCTCATTTGCAGGCTCGCATTGACGCTCACTGTCAGAGGCTTTTGATCAGCTGGGCACCACGACCATCTTGAAACACTTCCCTGTTTGCTTTCTGGAGAGTGCCCATGCTATCTTCCGCCTCCTTCCTTCCCATAGTCTCCCAATTAGCTCCTCATCAAAGTCTTGATTAACTTTTGAGTGCTCTCGGGTTCTCTTGGTTCATTCAGGTATTTGACTGAACATGGATATTTAGATATGTATACTCCATGTATGTCTGCCTTACTGAAAATGTCTAGAACATAGTGGACACTCAATTATATTTGTTGAGTAAATGAATAAATATGATGATAATAATAAGTAACTATAGTAATGACCATCTGGAAATTAAATAATTCCTAACATCCCATTGAGAGAGGTGTAAATATCACCACTCTTAGCTCTTTTTTTTTTCAACTTTTTTTTATTTGAATTAGAAACAGGATTGTTTTACATGACAATCCCAGTTCCCACCGGTCCTCCCCTATCTCCCCCAACTAAAACCTTATCTGTCACATATCTTTTCTGCTCCCCCTGGATGGTGAGGCCTTCCACAGGATGTCATCAGAGTCTTTCGTATCCTTTGGGATATGGCCTAGGCCCACCCCCATTTGTCTTGGCTCAGGGAGTATTCCTCTATATGGAATGGGCTCCCAAAGTCCACACCTATGCTAGAAATTGAGGTTTAGATAAATCACTTTTTCTCAATACCATGCAGCCAATGAGTGTCATAGTCAGGACTTGTATTCCTGATGTCCTACCTACAGGCTAGCTCCCAACTTCATGCAGTACTTTCTTTCACAGCTATGATGGTAAAAGTATGAAATGCTGTTTTTCTTACATTTAAAAAGAAGACCTAACTCCTCATATGAAAAGCAGAAATGAAAATATCAGTCTACCTTCCACAAGTCACTAATTTATACTGAAATAGTAATGAATTGGAAAATATAAATTACTACCAAACCATGAGCAATGTCCATTCATCTTACTACCATGAGATACTGAAAAAGAACTGAAATGGAGGAGCAGCAAATCTTAACAGACTGAGTACAGGCACAAAAGGAGACAGGCAAGAAAGATCTAAAACACGGGCCTCGAACTTTCCTCTTAATTGGGGAGACAGAATGAGAGGCAACATTTCATCTAAACAGTAGTGAACACAACTTCATAATTATAGAATTAAAAGTTTGTTAGATTTACCATAGTTCCTTAAAAAAAGAGAAAGAGGATGACAAAGTCTGGGGATGTTATGAAATATAATTGGTGATCTTACAGTTAATTTGTTTTGGACCTGTGTGGTTTACCTCTCATTGATCCCAGAGACATTACAATTAGCACATCCCAGGGATGACTGGAGATAGAGTAGGCAGGGGAAATTGGGTTAATGAGGAAGCATGAAGCAGGTAATGCCAGCACCTCTTATTCCTCAGAGTATACTTGCCTTTATGCTGAAACCAAGCATCACCCTTAAGAGCTCTCAGACTCATTCTCACGGTTAGATTCAGGATTCTAACACACTTTCCCTCCTTAAAAGTTCAGTTTTTGCGGACAGTATTGATCAGGGTCAACTTTAATTCTGAGACAAAAGTTTTGCCATGGGTACTGTTTTGCTTTAACAGCAATGAGACCCTCACATCCCTAGGAAGGGAAAAAAAGACTTCTTGGTGATGTCCCAGTCCATTCTGAAGATTGCATTGACATTTAATGTCACACAAGATGTGGAGTTAAAAAATATTTCTTAATTAAAGAATCTAGACAGATAGCCTCATAGGTAGAGCTTTGGGGCCGATCACAGCAGGTTTTTCAATCCCAGTCCAGTTTCTTGATACACGAAAAACTCAGTTTTATCATGCTCATTAAAAAAATATTGTGTATGGGGTTTTTGCCTGCTTCTATGTCTATGTGCCATGTATATGCTTGGTGCCCAGGGAAACTTCAAGAGTTTCTGGATCTGGAGTCCAGATAGCTGTGGGCTGCAATGTAGGTGCTGGGAACAGGATCTGGATCCTCTGAAAGAGCAGTCAGTGCCCTTAACCACTGAACCATCTCTCCAATCCCAAACATGATCATTTTTCAAAACAGATATGGCCCTTGCAAAATTGTTTTGAATATCCAGGGATAATTAAAAAATATCCAGGGATAATTAAAGAAGATAGTTTGGCACGGTTTCAACTGTCAACGTTGTTAATCACTGGCATGGTGATACCAAAATCGGCTGTAAATGTATTTTTCCTACATTTTGAGAGAGCCATGTGTGTTTGGAGAGAACTTATTCTATAGATCTTGAGCTCCTCCCACTGATCTCTTTATCTTGTTCTGCTTTAGTGTTTTTATAGCATAGTGCCTGGGACTGAGCAAATTATAACAAACAGAAAACCATTTCTCCCAGCCTGGAGACAGCAAAGTCCAAGGTCACAGTGCCAAAACCCGGTGAGAGCCTCCTTGTTACATCAAGGCATTGAAGAAGATGAGGATTAGAGAGCACAAGAAGAATCTGAATTTGGTATCCATTCCATCCTTGAGTGTAGGGGCCTGGAAGCCTAATTACCTTTTGATGGTCTCTCCTCTCAATATTCCAATGGTAATTAAAGTTTTAACATGAGCTCTTAAGGAACAACTATTCAGACCACAGCACACTTTCAAGGTCTTTTTACTGTTTTATTTAGTTAATGAATTCAAGGAACAGTTAGTCACTAAGTATACACTGCGAGTCTAGAATCCAGGTACTACAGTTTGGATATTGAATGCCAACCACAAATCCATACTCATGTATTGAGGCTTGAGTCTCCAACCCAAGGTGTTGTTTGAAGATGCTAAACCTTTAAGAGATAGGACCTAGTGGAGGCAAATTAGGACGCTGGGGATATATATGCCTTTGAAGCTGTCCTGGTCAGGGTGACAATTGCTATGATGAAACACCACGAAGAGGTGTTTATTTGGCTAACATATCCTGAGTCTCAGTCTATTGATGGAAGCCAAGGCAGGAACTCAAACTTGTGAGAACCTGGAGGCAGGACCTAGGGCAGTGACCGTGGAAGCTTGCTACTTACTGGCTTGCCCCTCCTGGATTGCTCAGCCTGCTTTCTTATAGAACCAGTGCTAGTAGCCCAGGTGGGGCCCTGCCCACAATGAACTGCTCCCACCCATGAATTGCTGAGTAAGAAAATGCTCTGCAGGCCTGCCTATAGCACGGCATGGGAGAATTTTCTCAATTGAAGTTTCTTCCTCTCAGATGGCTATGTAACTGTTTCAAGTTGGCATAAAGCTGGCCATTATAGAATGAGATGTTTTAACTGGAGCCTCTTCCTGTGTCTGCCTTGGCTTCTGGCTGTGATGAGGTGAAGCCTTCATCCACCACATCCTTTTCCCATGGCAAACCATACTACTACAGGTCTGGAGAGATAGGGTCAAATGTTCATTAATTAAAACCTTTGAAACTAAGCTAAAAGAAACTTTTCCTTCACATCGGTTATTCTTTTAGTCATAATGTTCGCAAACTAATACATTAAAATGGTTTAAAAGTAAATATTATAAGAAGCCCACCCAGAACTTCTTACTACCAAGAATAGTTTTAAGAAGAAAATAAGCATTGTGAAAGAGGCATTAATAGGATATTACAGTGATTCAGACTGAATGCTTCTTTTGTAAAGGAGAAAGGAATGAATGATGCAGAGAGTACTCACTCATTTATTCACCTTAGAGCCTTACCACAGCTTTAACACCTGATAATCAGCCTCCATGATGTTGTGAACAAAAAAGCATGATGGCTTTGGAGAAAGGGAGCTGAGAATGAAATTTCCAGCCAGACTGTAGAGACCTTTAAATGACAACATAAAATATTTGGACCTTTTTCAAGGTTTTTTTTTTTTTTTGGAGACAATAAAAAAAAACCCACTCATAATTGACATAGAAGGCTGTTGGGGCAGGGGGTTGTTAATTCATGATTGACATTAGGCATTCATAAATGAATGTCCTATAAAATCCTTACTGTAGTGTTTGAAATGACAGAAAGAAAAGAAATATGGGAATATGGACATACAGAGAGGAGGTAATTTCTGTAGGTATGGAGTGTGGCCATTAGGTCTATATTGACACAGAAAGACACAAACACAAGATGCTATGAAGATGCTCCAAGATTCTCCATAACTGTTCTACTTCCTATAATAACAGGAAACTTAACAAAATGTAAAAATCAAGTCTCTACCTAACCTTATCAACTGTGTTGGTTAGTTTTCTGTCAACTTGATACAAACTAGGGTCATCTGGGAAAGATGGAACCTCAACTTAGGAAATGGCTCCATCAAACTACCCTACAGGCAAGTCTCTGGGGGCATTTTCTT